CTAAAATTACAAGCCAGACACAGGTGATAAAAAGGGATTACCTTTATAAGGATCCTTATGGTGCACAACATGCTGGATTAAAAAAGCACTGAAGATGCATACTGTAACAAATGCATACAATTTTATATGTTCAGCAAATTAGCATAACTGACAAGAATCTCCAATTAGAGACATAGGTGATGAGGTAATTCCCCCCCTGGTTCTACCCTTTTCTGAGCCCCTTCACCTTTAGATAGGAACTAAACTTTGTTTATGAAAAAGTTGGGAAGCCGTTTTGATCTGGGTTCCCAAAGAATCTAACCTTGGATCCCCAGGCCTAGGAGCTTCTAGGGAATGTATTTTGTCTTTCTAATAGAGTAGGTAAAATGCTAGCTATGAATACAATAATAGACTACAGAGCTGCAAATATATAAAGAACATGGAGATATATAGAAGTAAAAAGGCAAAAATCAATTTGGTCAGTATCAGCATGTGCAGAGTAAACTTTTTTGTTTATATTGAATGAGCCATATCCTGAAAATTGCATTATTTCAGAGAGGAGTTATTAGAAGATAGTGTTTGAGTAGTTTTGGAACTTCTAATCAATAATCCAGAGTTAAATGAGAGCTTGCCTGAGGGTTTTTACAGCAGTAAGAAAACCACCAAAGTTATGCACAACCCTTGGCTGCAGCTTGAAAGCAAACTACCTTTGTTGTCAGCTGTCTACATAAATATCTCTAAGTCAGGAGTTCACATTTATTTGTTGCAGTGTTGTGGAGGCCAGACATCTCGGTTAGCTCGTGGTTAGTGAGTGCAATGAAGAGAACGTCTGCGATGTTGAGCGATGCGCAGTTGCATTTCACGGGCTATTTTTAGTTCAGGACATAATGGTTTGTTTTGTACGTCAGAAGAACGTTGTAGATGCACGTAGGATTTAAAAGTGTGGAATTAGCAGGGGAAATCAGTAGCTGTCTGTGTGGACAGACTGAGAAGGACGTAACCATGGAATTTCCTTTTATGATCCAGATGCTTGGTACACCCTGTCAGGTATCTAATACAAAGCAAGGTAAAATGTCTTTCCTTTTAGTTAAAAAAAACCCCAAAAATGACTGCTTTTTGCCTGCATATTGGGTTGCTTGTATAAGGGAGTTACTTTGCGTAATTTTACTCCCTTTTTTTTTTTAAGGATGAATCCCAGTTAGTGACTTCAGTCTTGTTTTTCAGGAGTTTAACAGAAAATATTCTGTCTTTGAGCAAACTATCTCAGAAAGAGTTAGAACTGTGCTATGACTCTGATTAGCATTGCATTTCTGACCACATATTTTGTTTCTAAGTTATAAAATTAATACTTAGTGTAAATTTCAGAATATAAGCTTAAATCTTTCTTCTTTCAGCAAACACTTGCTATAGATGCTTTCTGTAAAATTCAGAGTCAAGGATGGAAGGAATCTCATTTGCATAGCACTTCATTTGAGTATTATGAAGGATTATGGCAGTATGAATTACACTGTAGTTTTAGCTAATGCAAGCAGAGATTATGAGACTTTTGGAAACAGCATTAAAAAGGGTCTAACTTCTGATCCAAAAGCAGTCTTGGGGGCTTTGTGTTTGCCTTTCAGTGAATGACTCAGCTTTTCGAGTTTGTGCTGTCATACATTTAATTGGAACACTACATGTATCTTCCCAGATAAAGAGATATAGTTAATTTAAAAGCTTCATTTCTACCCTGAATCTATTAGTGTTATAATATATAATAATCTACCATTTATTTCTTCATTTGACAGCTTCAAGGGAAACAATGACATTGGTATACCTGTGATACTTGAAAATTTATAAAAATACATAAATATTTCTAAGGATTGGTTGTTTAAAATAAATGGTCTCCACATTTTTGAAGCTATTATGCCTTTAATTAAATTTTAAAAGAGTATGCTGACATTTGCATGTGTTGTGTAGTAGTAGTTGCACTGTGTAAGGGAATAGCACTGTAGAGCTTTTGAACTAAGTCGGTGCTCTCTCTCTCTTAACAGCAGGTAGTCTAACAAAATGCTATTCAGAGCCTAAAATACATTTTTTCCCCTCCAAAATGTTAGTTTAGCATACTGTCTGATCTATTTAACTACTGTGATAGTTTAGCAGCACATATCCTTCAATGTCAACAGTGCCTCCCAATTCCCAAATATGTAGTCATCTTAATTTGTGGAAGATGCAGGTGGAGTATTGAATCAGCAATGCAAGCACTGTGTGAGTTTAATTTCAAGAGCTATGATTTGATTTGGGTTTTTTGATGTAGCCTGCTATTGGCCTGCAGTGCTGGTCCCTGAATCCTCCAAGGCTTTATGCTTGAATAGGAAGTCTGAAAGAAAATGGACCAGGAGATACGGAAATAAATGCGTGCTTTGGGGTATATGCCAATAACATGAAACTACCCATACTACCCATACACTTGCAGTGTGATTTGATGAGGCTAAATCTTGGATATGTTTCTGTCTCCTTAGAACCAACAGCCACCATGTCTAGCAAAAGGGCAAAGACAAAGACCACCAAGAAGCGCCCTCAGCGCGCCACTTCCAATGTATTTGCGATGTTTGATCAGTCGCAGATCCAGGAATTCAAGGAGGCCTTCAACATGATCGACCAGAACAGGGATGGCTTCATTGACAAAGAGGACTTGCACGACATGCTCGCCTCCCTTGGTATTGTGCCTTTGCTGTTTGTGCTTGCCAGGCAAATTTGTGCTGCAAAATTCAAAATGCTGAGAGTTTGGGATATGGGAGGTGTGGTGTCTCATTGTTACACTCCGTTTGTTTTAACACCCAGTTTGTATTGACCTTACTATTTCAGTAATTTAGTTTTCAGCTAAGCCAAGTATGAATTCCTTTATTTGTAGGAAAGAATCCAACAGATGAATACCTGGATGCCATGATGAATGAGGCTCCGGGCCCCATCAACTTCACGATGTTTCTCACCATGTTTGGTGAGAAGTTAAATGGCACCGACCCGGAGGATGTAATCAGGAATGCTTTTGCTTGCTTTGATGAAGAAGCAACAGGTACGTGGGTGAAGCAACAGTGTACATGTATTACTTCTTCTTCTATTTTATTTATAATATTTTAAAAATATTTTTATTTTTGAAATTTTTTATTGTTACTTCTGTAACAATAAATACTTGTGTTCCCACAAGCAGTGAGAGTTCATTTTTTTAACTTTGAAAATTTTAATTTCTGCGAACTGAAAATCATGGCTGTATCCTCATGTGCTAAATTTGCCTTTTTAGTCTCTGTAGAAATTTAAAATTTCTGGCAGTTTGTTCTGTTGTTCAAGACAGGAGAAAGTATAAAAGATGTTGATCGGAAACCAGGGTCTTAATTAATTTCTTACTTAAAATTCACCTTTGGGGCCGCTTTTATGGGGGGAATCATTGTATTCAAAGCTGCTGTGTTTTTATGAAGAACTTGTTTTCTGTCAGCAATTTTTATCCACCTTCCCTCTGTTAAACTGCACTAAAAGGAGAAGAAAATGAATGCAAGGAAATTCTTGTGTAACTCACAGGAGTGATGATGGAGGCAATCATAAATTATACAAGCCTACTTTTTTAATAAACCATTCCAAAAATTTATTCTTTGCAACCAGTCTGGTAAATCTGAGTTTTACCACCAATTTAAGGTCAATATGAAATGTTGTAAACTTTCCCATGTTTCATGCACTTGTTGAATGTTAATAGTCAAGTTCCATGCCTTTTTTTTTTTGTGATTTTTCAATAGGAATGCTCAAGGTAAACTGATCTGCTTTGTTATTTTCAAAATACTGAGTTGTTAGGTTCTTGGTACTTTTGGGAGTGTAGCCCTGCTGTTGAGAAGGATGTCCAATATGAATACTGATAATTTTTTGTATTCTTTGGACCACCACTGGCAAAGCATATAATGGTCTTTATTTGAAGTAGTGGGACCTTTCAAACTAAATGCCCAATTTGATTGAATCCTTGTAGTTATTTGGCAATTTTATTTGGCTTTAATTACACTGTTTTAATTTGGCAGACAAAGACTGTAGGTATCTTTAATTGAGGGAAAGAACTCAAAGAAAGAAATGATCACCCATGTATTAGCAGATAAATGTAAAAACTCCTGTCCTCCTACACTGTGCTCCAGGGTTCATCCAAGAAGACTACCTGCGGGAGCTGCTGACCACCATGGGAGACAGGTTCACGGATGAAGAGGTGGATGAGCTTTACAGAGAGGCCCCCATTGACAAAAAGGGCAATTTCAACTACATCGAATTCACGCGCATCCTGAAACATGGAGCAAAAGACAAGGATGACTGAGCAAATCCCTGGATACCTGCCGATTATCTCTACATTTATGTTTATTTTTAACCGTTTCTTCCTGATAGAACTTGTTGCATGCATTTACCTTCAAAGCTTTTTGTCTTTTTTCAATATATTTATCTATTCCAGGCCATTTAGGCACATTTGCACCTGTAATCAGACTGGAAGTGGGGAAAATATTTTGAGGAAAAGGCTACAGGACAAACATTCCCTGGAGTTTGATAGTCCAGGAAAATAATCTCAATGTTTCTGGTTTAGCTGGATTTTTACATTTTTGTAATAAATGCCATTTTGAAATAAAGATTGCTATATAGATAAAATACCTCAAAATCTTTTGTGAAGAATGACATTTCTATTATGCATTTACAAATGCAGGTGTGTTCATTGTATTTTTCTTGCAGTTGAAAGTCAAGCTAGAAAACTCATTTTCATAGTGTTTTGTTCAGTGTCACAGGGTTCTGAAATGCTCCTAGTAGCATCTGCTGGCATCTTTGAAAATGTAGCTGCAGAAGTCTTTGATCTCAGGTTTTTGAAGTGGGATCTGACTACTGTGTAAGTAGTTTACCAAAGAAATGGTATGGGAGGACTATTACAATTGCCTCATGGCCAGCAGAGAACATCTAATTCTTAAGCAGTTACTATACCCAGCTTTTGCTTCCTTTTAATACTGATGGGTTTTCTAGCAGTACTTTCATGTCAAAGTGTGCATTCTTCTTTGCTAAGTAAGATGGAATTAGGCATATTTTTTCCCTCCTGCTGAAGGAAGCTTGTGCAAAGGAATCTGTGTTGGCACTAATTAACAGCAGTACATGGCCAGAAAACTTACATAAAGCTTTATTTTTCTACAGCTAATTCATTTGAGAATGTGAGCCAAGTCATTCTGACAATTAACCTGGTAAAACCCTATAGGTGCTGAAGTTGCTCTCACTTTTTAATCTATCATACATATTCCTCAGTTATATTGGTAAGATGGCTTTTAACCAAGCACAGTCAGTCATTCTGAACTGTGCCTCCTCTTGGCTACTCCAAGTTAGAAAGCAGGAGGAGAATTTATTCTGCCTATGTATTTATCTATTAAAATAATGACCTCTTATCCAGAAAGCTTGCCCTCAGCTATCTCACACAAATTAAGACCCCAAGGAGTAGGAATATAGCACAAAGGACTGTAAAGGCTCTGACAGCTTATCCTGTAAGGGTTTGCCTTATTTCATGTGTGATACCATTACTTAATCTTGCTTGTGGTCCTATATGCAACTCCAGAAGATATTCTGCCTGCAGCTTTGTAAATAACTTGACAAAGTATACTCACTTGGCATACTTGGACTATTTTTTTATTTTTTATTCCAGGGTGATTTTTTCCACTTACGGGCTTAATTAAAATTGAGTTTTCAACCATTCTTTTTCCAGTTTTGTGTTTTATCTGCTAACAAACTTAGCCTCAGTTTTTCTACTACCCACATTATGTTCTACACTTCTTCAGGTTGCCAGAGCTGCTCCTTTTTTTTGAAAGTTTTCTTTTTACCTATCTTGGTGCTCTTCAGTACTGGCTGCTGAGTTATTTCTCCATGTGACACCTGCAAGGTTCTAGGAAGTAGTTTACATGTATGCATGGAAGTTTTCACCAGCAGCGCCCATGTGACAAAGACAAGTGTGGATGAAGATTTAGGAAACTCTTGTTGAAATGTTGCTATGTAACATTAGGCTGGAGGACACATTATGCTGTCACTTCTTTAGACTGATTTTGTCACCTCTGTGCAATTCAGTACTGTGTGCATACATGCAAGCTCGAAGGACAGATGTAAGACACTGATTATTTTTTCCTTTTGATTCAGAGAGCAGTTTACTTTTGTTAGGATCTGGATCCCTAAACCCCTCTTTTCCTGATCCTCTTTTCTCTGTAAATGTTAGATATGTTACACTGACTAAGCGGCAGGTGTGCCAGCTGAATTTTTGTTGCTGGAAGTAGTGATTTTAAAATCTTAAATATGAGCTACATAAAAGAGAACCAGGTATCCATCCTCCTTGAGAGGAAATTGTCCACTTCAAAAACATTCTATACTGCTGCTCTTGCTTTCTGAACAGCCAGCTGAAATGCAGAGTGTAAATGTTTTGTTCCTTGTCAGTCTTGGATGCTCCCTCTGAGTAAAGGGTGAGACAGAATTGTACTGATGTAAAGATACCTACTCAGGAAGATGTGTTACTGAGAAAGAATATCCAAGGATGTGTGAGTGCAATGACAACCTTCCAAATTCCAATTTCCCTGTTGTTTTGGTTTGGTTTTTTTTCATTGTAGGAGACCAGTTAACCTGCAAGTGGGCACAAACCCCTTAACTGCTGAGAGGCTACAAAGGCCAACAGCCCCAGCCAAGAGACCATATAAGAGCATCAGATGCGTTTTGTAGCTAGGCAGGGAGGAATGTGACAGCTGAGGTTGTGTGCAAAGGGCTGTGGGGATGTGTCATCAATAATTCACTTCCAAAAATAACTTTGGTCACTGAACAGCTTAAAATTCTGATGACTTAGCCTTAGCATTTTGCAGCCAAAATCTTGGAACCTAATATTTTCTCCCTTGGGGTTCGTATAATAACAGTCTCCAAGCTCCACACCAGATTAAGGCTTATGATGAAAAACTGTTTTCATAGGCTCATACACACATTTAATAGTCTTATATCTACAGTGATCTATAATGCCCCGTGAAGCACTACTGAAAAGCAGTGATTTATTTTACATGACCTACTTACCCTGCTCTAAGGCTATAAATGCAGAGGTCAAATGAAGCCAAACGACCTACTGAGGCTGCACAAGAAACCTCCAAAGAGGACAATGTGTCAAGTGCTGCCAGGGGATGTTTGCCTGCTACCTTTTCTTCCCCACTCCGATGCTGGAGATAAAGGTAATGCACATTTTACACTTGTTTCTGCTCTTTATTTAAGCAAATAAACCCATCCTTAAGGCACAGTGATCAGATGACTGAAGCATTTGACAACATGAAGGCAGCTTGTTGCACTAGCTCAGCAACTACGGGATGTCACAGAGGTGCTGTCCCTACCCTCCAGAGCGAGGATCTGTTTCACCGCTGACCTAAGGACTATCTTTGGATCGCTTGTTTCTAGGATCGCTGTCGTATCTGGAGAAATGCATGCAGCACAGCGGCCCCATCCTGGCACAGGGCATCAGTGACAGCATGCCTTTGTGTCCTGACACCTGCGTTCGATCCAAAAGCTGGAAAGTATCTGGAATCTCGTCATCACGTCTTTCTCGTGCTCTTTGCTGGTCTGAAGTGTTACTAACCTATTATTTGGGATGTTCCTGGGGAAGTTCAAACAACAACAAATGCAAAAATATTCCAACAATGTAAATCCAAATAACGGGTGAGTAACAATCAAAGCATAGTCAGGAACATTTTAGATATCAGCAGTTAATCCTCCCTTGGTATTGCTTACGCACCCATGCTCCTATTTTGGCTTCTTACTTAATTTTTCAAAACCCTACTGTCATTTTTAGATAACTGTCTCCTTTGGAAAAATTATTCATGACTACATTAACTCAGAAGCAGTATTGCAGAAACTAGGAACAATACAAAAGGAAAAAAACCTCAGTAAATGCCCCTTAAAATGCAGCTTAAAATTAAGTTATCATGAAATACTGGAAAGTAATAGGGGGGGGGGGAACCCCTCCACATGGCTTTGTTTTGTTTTGGTTTTCTTTTTGTGCTCTGAGCAGCAACTCCACAGAGATCAGTGTTTTCCCAGACTTCTGATATACTAGATAGAAAACGTCCCATCTTAAGAAAAAAAAAGAAAAAGATGGCAGCACATGGCTGCTTTTCCTACTTTTCTCTGCAGCCCATGGGTAAAAACACTGCCAAGGAATATTTTCAGACCAGAAGTGTGCTATTCCCTAGAGACCATACATAATAGGCCCTGCCTGCCTAATCACAAGGATTTAAGGGGTGAGGCAGTTTGCATCAATGTAATAAATCTGAGGGAAGATGTTTATGTGTTTCTCAGCAGCACTCAACAGGAGAGCAAGGAAATCGAACTGGTCTCCTCGAAAATCCCCTGCTTGCTGCATACAGACTCTTCTGCCATGCAGCTGTGATTCAGTCCCTTGGTAAAGCAGCCTTGCACTTTGATAAAGCTTGAAAGTCAGTTACAAATACTACAGGATTAGGCAGGTCGAGACTGACTTCGCTGCTGCCATCATCTGCTCCTTTAGGCACCCGTATTAGTCATTTTACTGTTCTTGTAAATTGCTTAGTTTTGTGAGGTTTATTTAATCCTTAATCCTCACTTTGACTATTTTAGGGTATCACTGAGTACAACCTCAATAAATATTGAACTTGGCTTTGGGCTGTTTTTTAATTACGAATAGTCCTTGCAAGTTAAAAGACAGCATTTCACAATAATTTCCAGCCTGTGCCAAGCATATTCAAGTGAGTGGGTGTAAACTGAGGCTTGTAAGACCTGTCTTAGTATGTGCTAAAATAGAGCTGGCATCAGACACGAGTTACTTGAATCTTGACTTAGCCTTGTATCTAACAGGCACTGAGATTTTTCCCTCTTTTCAGTGCTTCCTTAATTGTGAGCTAACCATCCCTAATGCAAAAGGTAGTGGCAAGATATTCCCACCCCATAAGAAGTTGATTTGGAAATTGCTCCACCAGCCAACAAAACTTGCAGAGGCATCAGCTGATAAGAAAACTGATAACAGCTTACTTCTCATGTGAAGCACCTGACTAAATATGCTGCTGCTTGTTTTCTGGGTATGTTTTAGAACACTATTTTAGACCTATGGCCAAGCATTTCATTTTCTTCCATATTTGTTCATACACATTGTCAGACAGATACAAACTCTAACACACCAGGAGAGAGCACATACGTACATCCTTAGGTTTAGCAGAATTAATTACATTTGTTTGAAAGATTGGGGACCTTCAGCTCTCCTTGCAAAGAATACCTATCAATGCTTATTTTTGCATTTCAGTTCTCCACTTTATGGAATCACAGCATCTGGCAATACTCTTGATTAAAACTAGTGCAAGAGGAGCTGAAAACCCCACAAAGACTTGGCTAGAATTGTTGCAACTTACCAGCTAGGCTAAAAAACAAGGGATGCACATACAGCACAAGAGGCAGAACAGTGACTTTGATCATAGAGAGCAGGGAACAAAAACTCAGCAGAAATCAACAGCCCAAAGATGTACTTTTCAACGTTTAGTTGGGGTTTTTAATTTGTGTTCTTTACGTATAAAGGACTTAGGATCTGGGAATGCAAGGAGTACCATGTCTGCTGAGTAATGTCCCTCCATACTCTGTCAAACACATCAGTGCCCATTCATATAGTCACTGAGATGCAGTTTTATATAAATATATTGAAGTTTTTTTTCTCCTGTTTATATTTCATAGACTGACTGCATTTTATTTACATTCCATTAAATATCTCTGCTTTATCTTTCAACCTGCTATATCATTGTCATACAATGCTCTAGAGAACTCATATTCTTGCCTCTTCCTCAGCCATGTTCACCGGAAGTTACTAGAAAGTCAAAACTGTGCTATTTTTAATTTTCAGTATAGAGAAAGAATATGTGTTTCTTCTATAGACTCCACTACATTCTCTGAGAGCCTTTATTTTTCATGCTTCAGCATTTACTGTGTGGCAAGGGACCACCTGGGAAAGCAGTAGCCATTTTTATTCATGAGGTCATTGAATGAAAACAGGGAATAACCTGCAGTCTGTGGCCCTCCAAGAGACTCAAGTGGAGACACATGTTCAGAATCCCTTCAGGACTCCTTAAATATTTTCCCCTTGGATCACAGCACTGGAGTTCTTTTTGGAGAAATTCCAGAAAACTTTGTGGTGCACTCAGTATCTCAAAAAGACTGTCACCCTGAGTGATACTGCACTGCACTTGGTACAGCTAGACAGAGATAACAGTTGCCAGCTAGAATCAGGGACGAAGGGATAGAAAGGTAGAGGGATGAGCCAAAATACCAGGTGAAGCAACTGACAGACAAAATGCTTTTGTTAAATGATAGTTTAGGCCTAGAACTTAGATGGATATGCTTAATTTTGACTCTGCTGGCAATACTTAATCTCCATAATTAACATTTGTTGAACAGTGATAATATGCTCAGAAAAAAAAAATCTCCTAACTGCAAAACCTTCCACTCAAATTTTACACAATTTTAATTCTTAATGTGGAAATCACATCTGCTTTTTCAACTAGTCTCTCTCTTCAGACCCTTTTGTTTCTTATGCACATCCTCAGTCTCACTTCTACAATGACCAAGGGTATGGAACGGCTTCTGTACAAGAAAAACTACCTAAGTTGGACTCTCTGCTACAGCTGATAGAAGAGCATACAAGAGCATTCTAGAAGCAAAAGTAACAC